CCAAGGGCTCTTATAAGGTACAAAACAAGCTATCAAACAGAGCCAAAGGCCCTCAGCAGCTATAAATAGGCCACATCAGCACTATGAGCGTGAAGGGAACAGAAGCAATGTGTCATGCAGCATGTGGAAGCTCTCTTAAAGTGGTGCAGTTGTGTCCTCACACTGAATGAAGCTCAACAAACATTGATCAACTGCTTCTAGCCTTGTAAAAAAAAAACTCCAAAGACATCCTCTTTTTTTTTTAGTAGCTCCAGGTTCTATTTCTGCTTGCTTCTAACACAACATGGTTCAGTGCTTAATAAATACAAATACAAACATCCATCATCCACAAAATTACAATGAGTTCATAAGTAAAAGCTACTCATCTGTGGAGCGGTTTGCTCTTGCAGAGCTGATTGCTGTAAACAGTGGACAAAGCATCCTGAAGAGTAATCTGTATTCTGAAAGGCTGCGTGGTATTTCCCAAGACATGTTTGAGAATGGCCGTTTTGTCTTTGCTGCACAGCATCATTTCAGCTGTCTAGTTCTAAATCAGAAGCAATTCAACTTTAACCCTGACACACTCCAGATTCAGATTGCTGCTAGTTGGAAAGTCTCAGGATTATTGACTATGGGTAAAGGTCTGCTTTAGGCATGTGCAGAAACACACGCATTCTAAATCAATTAGTCTGGTGGGTTAACTGAATGACTAGTCAAATAGTCAATTTTAAAGGGATAGTTCACTTTGAAATTAATTTTTGATATGTTTTAGCTTACCTCAAGGGCATCCAAGATGTAGATGTCTTTGTTTCCACAGTATTTTCAATTTTTACATTTTTTGGTCAAACCATTGTTGTCTGTCAGTCATACACTGGAGGTGAAGGGGGTCCTCAATCGGTTCACCTCAAAGAGCATGCACAGAGAAGTCAAAATTAAACATGATTTAATGACTCGTACATGTAAGTACACATTGATGGCCTTAGACACGAAACGAGCGGTTTGTGTGAGAAAACTAACAGTATTTATATCGTTAATACCTCTTGTAATCATAGCCATGACAAAATGATCTGACGGCACGGGCGCTTCGGTCTGCGCATGCGCTGGAACTGATCGCTTGCGCGCCTAGCCGCCTACGTCACTCTTTGTTTATACAGAGATTTCGGAAGTTTTACCTTTCACTAAACATATTTAGATATACGGGAAACCGCAATGGAAGACGATTTCGGTATATCTAAATATGTTTATTAAAAGGTAAAACTTCCGAAATCTCTGTGTAAATATTGAGTGACGTCACACGCAAGCGATCACTTCCGGCGTAACATTGAACTGATTCAGTTCGGTTCAGTTGGACATTGAACAACTGATTCAGATCACTTGGATTACACGAGGTAAAAACGATATAAATACTGTTCGTTTTCTCACAAAAACCGCACGTTTCGTGTCTTAGGCCATCAATGTGTACTTACATTTACGAGTCATTAAATCATGTTTAATTTTGACTTCTCTGTGCATGCTTTTTGGTGGACCCCCTTTGCCTCCAGTGTATGACTGATCAAACAACGGTTTGACTGAAAAATGTCAAAATTGAAAATACTGTGGAAACAAAGACACCTACATCTTGGATGCCCTTGAGGTAAGCTAAAACATATCAAAATTAATTTCAAAGTGAACTATCCCTTTAAGAATGGTATCTGCATTAAATTAACTGTTTTTTAAGACCTGCACTAATAAAATTAATACTATATAGGAATTGTGCACACAGGAAAAAGCCATGTCAATGGTAACATTGTAAACCATAAAATGACTGTTAAAAAAAAAAGGAATCATAATTTTAAATTCAAATACAGGTTTGATAAAAGTAATTTATTTTCACTATCAGCCATAGGCCGATTGTTTAAAAACAGCCAATGATCATGGACGATTATATCCTGTCAATCAAAATCCGCAACTTGCATAGCCTATCGTATAGCCGAATCGGCTATCGTATCAATGAAAAAAAATTGTATTCTGCTTCTCTTTAAATTATTATGTTTACATAATTATGATTATATTTAAAATATATGACTAGCCTATATGTTATATGCCAATACACTTAGATTTTCTGAATGCACATTTGCTTCTTTACGACCCACCAGTTAATAACAACACTGTGTGTAAAGGGCTAAATCAAAATCCAAATTTACTCTGACAACACGTGGGCTTATGGAACAGCAGAAATATAACGGTTACTTGTGAACCCCTGTATACAAAACATCTGTGCTTATTAGAATAATATTTCTAAGAAAGGCAATGAGTTTACAGGCGATATAAACACCGTAAGGTAAACAATTTATAATTCACCAACAGTAGATTATAAGCAATCGCCAATTGCTTGGCATAAATGTGTGGTATTTATTGATTGCGAATACCTAGCCTTTTCAAGTTTAACGAAAAAAATCACATTAAGCCATATAGCGATTCTCGTTTTTCAGTCCCCAAATTTAAGACATCTTTAAATGGCAATTAAGAGTTATACTATAAAAGTCTGTTCCATTCTAATGCTTCCCTTGTAGCTTTTTTTTAATGGAACAGAACGCAGGGGTCTCAAGGTGTGATCCTGGTTTTTACCTTGACAACTGACACTTTTAGCCTGAGCACCATAAGAATGAAACATTCATGAAGGCTATGAATAAATAAAACAGTATAATATACATACATATATTATATATACACATATACTCAGTTTTTTCTTCAAGAGTTTCATTTGTTTCTATTGAATAGCTCTCAAAAATACAATGCTACAAAGCTTCCTGGCTATTAGCTCTTACTCAGAAACTCTCATTAAAGCTGCTTAGTAATTTGTAAAACACAACATTTTCCCCTAATAAAATCCAGTTCAACCAGTCACCCCAAAATTGCATTAAAACAAGTAAACTAGGATATGTTGATTTAAGCCATTTTGTCATTTTTGTGATCAATATCCATCAAGAGGTCCTGTAAATTTTAAATGGAAAGTAAGAAATCTGAAACTGAGACATTCAGCACTAGCAATGTTATGTCTGTGCCAATCTGAGATTCTCCAGTTAGCTTACTGGTTAGAATGTAAGACTGAGGACAGATCCCAGTACAGTATGCTCAAATTCTACTAAAAGACAGTGTCCCACTCACTGCCTCCGAAGAGGTCAGAGTGCAAAATCTGTTTGTTGACTCAGTACAAATCTCACTGCTGTTTGCACAGAACAGGAAAGTGAATGCAAACTGGACAAAACTTAATAATAAAAGATAGAATCTTCAAAAGAGAGAGAGAAAAAAGTGTCACATTAACTTCTTTGTAAGCTAAATTTCCAATCTCACAGATTGCTTTAACCAGAATGAAAAAGCATTGAATAAACACTGACTGGGCTCAGGGAGATAGGCTAGTTATGAAAAATTACAGGGATGCAGTAATATTAAAATACTTAAATTATTTTAAAGTTAATGTTAATCATACCCAATAAAAGATACATTAAAATTGTACCATGTTGTCTAAATAAATAAAAACTTGATGTTGCGTTGGTCAAATTCACTTGTTACCTGTAACACAGCATTATATAAAACATTAAATATACAGATTACAGAATTAAAAATAGATATTCTTTTTGAGATGTATTCATAATATTCAATTGTGTTTTAAAAGAGTACCTTTAATTGAGCTTTAGATGACGGCAAAAGTAATCTAAATGTAAAAAGTGGGGAAGTTACAATACAATTTCCAAAATCAAACAACAATCATAAATTGAAAAGAAAATCTCTTATATCAGCCGATAACCAAGACGATACTAATGCATCCTAATCAATAATTACTACGTACATGGTCTTGTTGGCACAACATACGTCAGGCTTCTGAAATTTCCCAATTCTAAGAACCGGTTAGAACAAGTCATGTGGAAATGTTTCTGGATATAATACTTCTCTGCTTTGAGCAAAAAAAGAGGAAGTACGCAACACTTGACCTCGAGTAATTCTGAAAAGTATTGTGTTATGCAGTGTTTGCAGGATTAAATCAGAAGCGATGAAGCTGGCAGATCGGCACAAACTACCGTACTAGGCCACATAACCCAGTGGCTAACACAGGAAACAAATCCAGACTAAACATAAGGCTGTGTTCTGCAAACACTGATGAATCAAAGACACAAACATAAAACAAACCAATCAGGTTTTTTCCGTTTTCTTGGCTGCAAGTAAGCCTGTGGGGTGTTACAGCACGACAGGTGCCGAAGCAGCCAGCCTCCCTCATTCCATCGGGGAATCACAGATAAAGGTCTAATAAGAATGAAATCCCTTGATGAAGAGCATTTTGCACCAAGATGCATTTGGCTGCGTTCAGTGTCAGACACAAGCCGTACAAATACTCCAGCAGCCCTCTGTTCCTAATCTCTTTAGACACTGCCTATGCGAAAATGAAACTGACGTGCTGCATTCTGCATTAACTCTGCTTTTGTCAAAAGAATCAATGCCTCAATGCTTCAATGCACACATGCCTGTATTGACCTTCATCGCTCCCACACCATCTCGACGATGACTGTTAAAGAGGGATCACACAAGACGTGAAGACATTACGCAGACCATGACTTCAAACACGATGTATCAGACAGCTGCATTTACAGACTCAAGCAGAAGTGGTTATTATGACGCAGATATTATTAAATATAAGCTGAATGTATGATGACATAACTGCTTCAACACTGCTGCAATAACATATGCTGGATATATGATTACAAAAAAATAAAATGAGCCACAAAGTCAGTAAATGACCCTATACTGCCGCGTTACAGTGGCATCAGCTCCTTGAACTGACAGCATCTGAAACAGATCAGCATTCCCATCACGAGCATGTTCCAATTCATCACTGGTGTCCAGACAGCTGAGGATGTGCAAGCCAAGGCTAGTGGAACTGCATGCCAGAAATGCAGTAACACTTTGAGCTTGTAAAAAAGCACCCAAGAATACCTGCAAAGAGACTTGTGCAAGTACAAATACAAGGATCTTTTTGGCATACTCACAATCGAGGTGTTTCTTTTTTGGTCCACTGACTTCATGCGTAGTGGCCTTGCAGAGAGCTTTGGTGATGGCTGATCCAGTCATGCTGTGCTGGGCCGCAGCGATGCGATCCGTGATGGACTGTCCTGACATTTTTATTCAGCTCTGATACGAAAAATCAACACTAAACTTGACCTGGTCTCACTGTAGACGTGTGTACTCTCACAACAATCTAGTATAGGAGTTGATAATTTTACAAAAATACACTGACTTGATGCAAACAGTTGAGTTAGATGCTTTTTGAATTCGCCACCAAGTCAACTGTCTCTAATTGATACACTTGTAGTAAAAAAAGGGAAGGAAAAGTTGACTTAACTAGTAAAAATGTCACAACTAGATATGCCGTAACTAAATTGGAGGGGCGATCTGAACTTTTGTTAGCTAATATTACTCATACAACATTGGCACCAAGAACAGATACTGGTATTGAAGTCTGAAGATACAAAACAACTGTTGGAAAATGTCATAGCTATCGGTCAGGCCAGCTCAGAGGATTCAGGCAGAAAATATCACCTGTCAGCCAGCTTGAGCCTCACCAATAAAGACCTTTTAAAAAGAAAACAAACTGGATATAAGACGCACCAGCAGACTAGATTGAGATCAGATAAGCAAAACTGTTCTGTGGATTTTCTTGCCTTTATAAACCTGCTATTACACTTGTACCAAGACTTAACCAGTCAATAAATCTAACAGGTTTTCTTGCGAGATATATGCATAGACATACAAACCGAACCCTATAAGTGACTTGGCAAAGAGGCGGTAAGAAAGGTGGATTAACTCAAATATGTAACTATACAGGTAACAAAACAAAAGAATTATGTAACCAATCAATTTAGGCGATTTAACCAATCAACAACCTAAACTATCTGCCCAGCCAGCTGAGTAGATAAATCACATCTGAGCTTGAATTATTGCTCCAGCTTTCTTATATTTAGACAACTACGAACAAAAAACAACCTTGCTCGAGCCTAAACTATTCCTAAATAACACATAATCTAAAAAAAGAATGGTAAATGTTGTTAAAAAGAAGTCCAGCGTGCATCTCGACGAAGACAGCTGAAAGTGTCCGGCTCAAGTTGGACTCCAGCCCGGTGAGGCAGTGCGTCTAACCGGATGCCTGGTTCTCTGCCCTTCCGTCCCTTTCAGAAGTGGAAAGTCTCCTTTTAGTCCGCGTATAAGACACGGTTCCGCCCGTGATGAGAAGGAGAGACGTCGAGTTGCTCGGGACTGAACTGAGGAGTGGTTCAGCTACAACCCCCCTGTCTGTCGCTGTATCTGTGGTTGTGATTCGAACTGTCAGCTCTGTGTTATTCCGGTTTGGTGAAGAATGCGCTGGCGGAGCCGTTCAGGACAAAATGGCTTCGCCGTGATCAGGTGACCGAAGAGCTGGATGTGATTGGGCGGGAGCAAGTGGCGTTCACTCGTTCGTGGGAAATAGCGTTGCCACTCTTTACTTAGAGCGTGTGATTCTTTTTTGACAGTTATTCCATAAATGAAGATTGCTTTTCTTTTGAAAAACATTTGTTTATTTGTATATATATATATATATATACAAGATATATATCTTGTGAGAGAGAGAGAGAGAGAGAGAGAGATATTCAGTAGATTGTATATCATTTTTATTCCTCTACAGATTTTATTTATTTCTTTATTTTTTAATTATCAAAAAAAGTTAATTTAATTTGCCATTTCCAGTTGACATCACAACTTCGCGAACTTCCTGACCTGCAATTCAATCATCAGCCGTTAGGGACTCAAAATGATGGCATGGCTTTTTATCGACTAAAACATATTTTATGTTTTCATGGGATACATTTTATGTAGGCATTTAAAGTAGGCTAATGTAATTTAAGAAGAATGTTTTGTGCAAGGATCTTGTTTGCATTCCAAGTAGGCCTATTTGGAAATCAGGATCAACCAATCAGAGAAGTCGCTAAGGTACTCGTTGTTCAATAACAGTGAGACAATCGAGTGTGCCTCTGTCGAAATATTCTTACATTTTTGGGGTAAAAATCTATTCAAAATTAATAATATTAAGAATGTAGTATGTATTATAATTAGGCATATTGGGCTATTATTAACCGCTTAAATATGAATTGTAATTAGGCCAAGTCAAATGTATCATAGAAAAGCTTTTTAGCTATTTTTATGTGAGTACGTCTGTCTTTCTAAAAACCACAGTAGCACAACAAAGCTGCATGTCTCTTTGCCCTTGTCTATTGGCTTTGGTGGTCATTGGGTCTGTGAAAGCGCTAGGCTATATAAATGCAGTCCATTTACCATTTATTTACCATATTCTATGACTGACATGGTTGTCTTGTGCTTTTCACCATATTATGACACCCATCAAATGGAGCATCGGATGGCCAGTTTCAAAATACATTAGATAAACAAACATTTCACACATTTTGCTTGAACATTTTTTTTTATTATTTTTATAAATACAAATATGTAGTGAACAAATAAATAGAAGTTAAATAAAAGCAATGACCTGTGACCTCTAAAGCATAGGCCTACAAAGTGTCAGAGTCAAAGATGTGTGAGCAAGAGGAAATGTTTCTAAGGGGAAGTACAACATTTAACACACCTTTCTGTATGAGGAAGTGGTTTAAAGAGCAAAACCACAATGATGGTGTTAACCATTGCTTTCATTAAGGAGCATGAGAACATGTATCAGAACAATAAGCTTTATATATAAACTGATGACACTCTGGCTAGACATCAGAGCTGAACAAAAACAAAACATTTGTGTTAGCAAACCTGTTTTGCTAGCTGTTTTATCACTGACAAAATTACTATAAAAATGACTAAAAGACTATTCACTTTGTGGTATTCTTGTGCACAAAGACAATGCATGTGCAATGAACATTCATGTGTTTACTGGAACACACACAAGCAACATATAAGTCATCTACAAAACAAGTCTTTCTACAAGATCTAATCTAGTAAATATTTGAATAGGCCTACATGCCATTAGGCGAAATGAACAGCCTATGTGCCAGCCCCATCTAGAGGTAAGCAGATGCAATTATTTCCATGGCAACTAGATCCAGCAGTAGCCCTTGGCAACTGATCACTTCCCCAGGGAGCATCTTAATGAAACAAGATGTTGATATGAGATGTTGATATGTAAATAACATGTCATAGTTCAGATTCTATCTTTAAATGTAATAGAATGATACATTGCATCACTTTATGGATCACTTTATTCCAAATATAGATCACTTTAAAGATAAAAATACAAATTCTGTGAATCAAGAAATTAGAAAATCTTCACATAAATGGTTTCATTTTTATTAGTCCTTGTTAAAAAAAAAAGAAGAAGCATTTTACGTTGACTGAAGGTACAGGTGGCACTGTCATACCAATGCAAACAGAGGATTTGTGAGAAGGATTTCTCCTGATTGACAGAGCGTCCAAAACCTGCTTAACCCCTCAGTCACCATTTGCATCATCCAGTCACATGTCTGATTCTGTGGCTGAATAAATGCATTCACTGCCAACATACAGTCAGGCTTTTGAACTGAATTTAGTGATCATAGCAGGTACTTTTATCAAAAGTGACTTACAAATGAGGAACGTCACAAAAAATGATTTTACTAATTCTATCTTACAATAATATTCAGATGTCCTTAAGACGAGCCTTCAACTCTGTTACGTGAATGAAAAATAAGAATTTGTTCTTTGTTCTTTGTTCAACAAAAATTTGTTGTTGCACGCAAACATAAACAGTCATGAAGACAGACAAGCGTGCTATCACACCATTCCTGACATGCTCTCATCTTCAGGTCCAACAACTACAGGCTGGCAGCAGCCGGTGCAAATGTACTGTAGCACACAGAGGTAAACACTGCCGGACAGTCCCACAGCCACGACCAACAGGATCAGACTCAGGTACGATGGCCCAGGCTGGTATGCAACGTCAGTGAGCATGTCACTGTCCATTACTGCGGGTAGTTCAGAGATCTGCGCTGTTGGATTGAAAAGAGACAAGCTGAGTTTTATTCAACAATTCATTTATTATAAAAAATTATATCATCATGGTCTGTAATATTTTAACTCCTGAAATCTCAGTTTGATATAATGCAGATTGTATTATTTAATGAATGAAATTTGTGTTGTTTAGTGATTATTTTCAAAAATTGCACCTACAAAAAAATAACCACTAACACAATCATCTGTCATTAAAGTATCAAATTATTAATATATATATATATATATATATATATATATATATATATATATTCAGTCAACGTAAAATGCTTTTTAAAAAAAAACAAAAACAAAGAAAAAACAAGGACTAATAAAATGTGAAAAAGCACATTTTCTAATTTCTTGATCCACAGAATTTAGGTATTTTATCTTTAAAGTGATCTATTTGGAATAAAGTGATCCATAATGCATCGTTCTATTACATTTAATGGCAGAATATGAACTATGTTCACTCTGAGCTATGTTATTTACATATCAACATCTTTTCATTTTATTATATATATATATATATATATATATATATTATAAAAGGCCATATTCTTTTATACATTGTATTGCACAATGCACGTAATTGTATTCCTTTATAAGACTTGCACATAAATGAAGACATTATTTTTTTAGTTTTAATTTTGATGTGTTGATTCAGGTTGATTTGTGTCTTTTTCATTTTACAGGTCTGCCTTTGAAATTCACCGAAACACTTTTATATAACAGAATAGATAGACCAGTTATAAGACACACCTATACAACTAATAAAAACTGTTACACTTTCAAGATTAATAAATGAAGAGGAAGGCTGTCTGATAAGATAAAAAGCAATAATAAAAACACAATGGACCATATAAACAATATTTTAAAAGCAAATGATTCAAGGCAGTATCCTACCTGAATTCAATGGGAAAATAAACAGAAGCAGGAACTCTGTCCCCATCCACAGCATTATGTAGCCTATAGAGTTTTACCGCTCTGCTGCTGTCATCCTTGAAGAATCTTTTGAAAAACATTTTTTATTATAATTTACTTTTGATTAATCACCTCTGAATGGCCTGTTTTGGATAGGCAGACATAATCCCACCGTCCCCCAGTTGTGCTTACCAAAATATCTCCTCAAACTTCAATTCAAGACATCAGCTGGCACCGCCTCTCTTTTCGTTTTTATCAAAGGTGATTTGGTCCCCAACAGTCGTTAACCTTTCGACATCCTCGATGAGCAGAGAGCCGGTAGACAAACAGTTTCCTGACCAAAGCACTTTTACGCGTAATGCCCTTTGCTCAGTCCGCAAGGAACACGGCGTGACACAATCGCATCATTCGGCTGGAGAGTCGAAGGAGCAAGTAGCCCCCTTGCTCTATTCACGGTTTTACTACTACAATACCTGTAAAGCGATCAATAGCCTATCCTCCGCTGACACTGTCAGATTATTATTATTGCCCATGGCTGGAAATGCAACACATTTACAGTTACAGCACGGTGCGATGCTCCAATGCTCTATCATTAGCGCGTCCAGAGCACTTCATTTTGTTCCAAACTATAATCCGCGCAATTACCTCTCAAAATCATACAGTTATCATCACCCTTCAGATGCACAATAATGACGCTGGAAAGAAATCACGCCTCACTTGTTCAAGCATTGGATTTTTGTGTAATGATTTTTTTCAGTGGGGTTATTCTGTTTAAGTGTCATCATCATCGCATCATCATTCATGGGTTATTTCATTCACGAGTTTTGAAAAGATTTTAGCGTTGTAGGGTGATATCAGGTAAAATGGGCCATCAGGTAAAATGGGCCATTTAAGGTTTGGGGGTCCCAGCTGCTCTGGAATTTAGAGCCAATGACTGCAAAGGATTTCAAACTGTTGTCATAACTGTGCTTGACAAATAACAGGCGATAAGATTGGTTTATGGTTGCTATGGTGGGCGGGGGAATAATTCAAATCGAGACTACACCAGAAAGCTGCATGGTAAGTAGCCTGGCATACCAAATTGCACTGAACTATTATAAGGATGATACATCAATAAAAAAACAGACATGCTCATAAAAAAACTATGCATACTGTCTGTCTCGATGGCATTAATCAGAAATAATGTTGTTAGTTTGGTATATAAACATATTTTTTGTAAAAGTGATGTTTTTCTTGGCGGCCCAATTTACCTTAACCCACTAAGGTAAAATGGGCAACATGGTTTCAGCTAAAATGGGCCATCATCTTTGACACACACACACACACACACACACACACACACACACACACAAATAGACTCAGACACACAGACTGACACACAGACACAGAGACTCAGACACAGACTCAATTTCAATTTTCAAATTGAAATCAGACTGAGACTCAGACACAGAGACTCAGACACAGAGACTCAGACACAGAGACTCAGACACACAGACTGAGACACACAGACTCAGACACACAAACTGAGACACACAGACTCAGACACACAGACTCAGACACAGGAACTCAGACTCAGACACACCGACTCAGACACACAGATTTAGACACAGACACACAGACTCAGACACAGACGCACAGACTCGGACACACAGACTCGGACACATAGAGACTCGGACACAGACTCAGACACACAGACTCGGACACATAGAGACTCGGACACAGACTCAGACACACAGACTCGGACACATAGAGACTCGGACACAGACTCAGACACACAGACTCAGACACACAGACTCGGACACACAGACTCAGACACAGACACACAGACTCGGACACACAGACTCGGACACATAGAGACTCGGACACAGACTCAGACACACAGACTCAGACACATAGAGACTCGGACACAGACTCAGACACACAGACTCGGACACACAGACTCGGACACATAGAGACTCGGACACAGACTCAGACACACAGACTCGGACACATAGAGACTCGGACACAGACTCAGACACACAGACTCGGACACACAGACTCGGACACATAGAGACTCGGACACAGACTCAGACACACAGACTCAGACACACAGACTCGGACACATAGAGACTCGGACACAGACTCAGACACACAGACTCAGACACACAGACTCAGACACACAGACTCGGACACATAGAGACTCGGACACAGACTCAGACACACAGACTCAGACACATAGAGACTCGGACACAGACTCAGACACACAGACTCGGACACACAGACTCGGACACATAGAGACTCGGACACAGACTCAGACACACAGACTCGGACACATAGAGACTCGGACACAGACTCAGACACACAGACTCGGACACACAGACTCGGACACATAGAGACTCGGACACAGACTCAGACACACAGACTCAGACACACAGACTCGGACACATAGAGACTCGGACACAGACTCAGACACACAGACTCAGACACACAGACTCAGACACACAGACTCGGACACATAGAGACTCGGACACAGACGTCAGACACACAGACTCGGACACATAGAGACTCGGACACAGACTCAGACACACAGACTCGGACACACAGACTCGGACACATAGAGACTCGGACACAGACTCAGACACACAGACTCAGACACATAGAGACTCGGACACAGACTCAGACACACCGACTCAGACACACCGACTCAGACACACCGACTCAGACACACCGACTCAGACACACCGACTCAGACACACCGACTCAGACACAGACACTCAGACACAGACACACAGACTCAGACACACAGACTCAGACACACAGACTCAGACACATAGAGACTCGGACACAGACTCAGACACACAGACTCAGACACACCGACTTAGACACAGACACACAGACTCAGACACAGACACACAGACTCAGACACACAGACTCAGACACGCACGCACACACTGACAGACACACACACACACACACACACACACACACACATTTTTGTTTTTAAATGGCACATATGAACTATGTTTGTTTAATTTGGCTGTATAAGAAATTGTGTTTAAATATAATTGATGATAAATTGCTATTTCCCTTTGCAATTTGACTGGCCCATTTTACCTGAACAGCTGGCCCATTTTACCTGAAACGGCTCATGCAAAAAAACTCGGCACTTCTGATGTTTCAAGAACTGTAGGGCCTAAATAATTTTATTTTATTACAAAATTTCAACACAGATGTATCAAAAACAGTCATAATTAATCATAAAAACACATGGATACTGCATATATGGTATTGTATTATTGTCCCAAACGATTTACCAAAAAGTGGCCCAATTTAGCTGATATCACCCTATGACACGAAGATGTCCGTGTATTCTGCACTAAATTCGAAAATTATTTAAATACCTTTTATTTATTGTGTTGTTATTGTTATTATATCAAAATGTGCATTGTTGCTAATACAGGAAGGTCGCAGGGTAAACCATTAAAAACAGTAAAGCTTTGCATTGCTCAAGCTGTTGTGCCTGAGCGACATAGGCTATAGTTTCGTTTTTTTGTGGAAAGACTTGTGTCATACATAGTTGCCATGTAATTATTCATAATCATGTCCTCTGAATAAAAAGTAGGCTTAGTTAAAGGTCACTGTTAGACACGCTCTATGTGGCAGACTCTTGTGAGGCAAAAGCAGTCCAACAAGCAGAGAGAAACAAATTAAGGCATGATTACATACTGTGAGATGATAAACACCTTAGAGCTACAAGATGCAATTATACAGATTGAGTTACACTGTCCAAAACACTTCCTCAGATAATGTGGGAAAAGTGAAGCCTTAGATGGAAAATCAGTGGATTATGGCAAGTCAAAACAGACAGGGTAAAAACACAGTGAAAATGACTGCTGTGAGTGAGCAGCAGAAAGCATATGGGGGATTACATAAAAACATTCAAACATACAGTGACATTTTCACACTAGGCACACGCCGCCTCACTGTCATCTGAGACAATTCAGTGCAATTACTTGTCTGAAGCAATTGCCTTCCATTTTTTTTTTGCCTATGGACACGCACAGAATTAACACTTGTGTGACTGTGTGAATTCCATGCTATTCACAGTAATGGAATATAATTTGCATGCTGGCACACGACTGCTTTTCTTTGAAATTTATTCATATAAAATCATTTCATTTCAAGATCTTACATCATCCTTGATTCCACCAACCAATGCATACAAAAGATAAGTATCTTATACACTGTAAATGATTTCTGTTGTTTTCACAGGATTATACTGTTTTTCTCAACAGTTTCTTACTGTATAATCTATGTACAGTAAGTTACAGTAGATTTAGTTGTTTTCACAGTATTAAATTGTTTTTTCAACAGTTATGTACTGTGCACACAGCTGACAGTATGTTACTGTAGAATTGCAATGCATTCTGGGAAATTATCAGTTACTGTTAATCTAAATACAGCAGTGCAATTGACCGCGAAAAACACCACACACAGTTCCACGGGTAAAATTGCTAGCCTACTAATGTTATTCTTACATTTAAAATAAAAATGTAGCACTGGTTGACCATTAACAGTCATAATTTATGACATAATTTATGTCAGTGGGGTGTGCATGAGAGCATATTTGACTTTGGAAGAGTTTCTCTGTCGTGTCAGTGGTGCTGCTGTCTTTTCTGCCGACCTGCAACTTCTTCATCTGGTAAGTAATAATTCTTATAATGTGTATGCAAACGGATTCTAGCTAATAACTTTAAAGTTATTTAGAATAGCTGACCACGATTTCTATATTCAATTTAATATATTCTAGACATTTTAATATAATATGTATATGATAGGCTACTCTTCAATGTAGCCATTTGGGATATTACTGTAAATTCAAATACATTAGTACGAAATGACCGCGAAAAATAACCACAACAAGCTGCCATTTTATGAAGAACTCTTCAGTTCCCTTCCCTCTGTAAGAACACGCAGGCCGTGCATCGCGTCGCTGTCGGTCGGCAACGTTTTCGCCATACATCTGGTTAGTAATTCATATTTTTATGCAAACCATATGAGTTACTTACGTTAACGTTAGAAAGAAGTGGCCGCGGAATGTTCTACGTATGTATAAGTCAGACGCGGATTTCTTTTATGTTGATAGCCTTACTTGATTAAATGTGATTTTATTGACATATATTTCATATGTAACCTCTTATACGGTCAAAATGGTCTAATCATTTTGTTATTTACCACGTTAAATCGGTAGAAGCGCCTGCACGTTCATTATTTTATGACTTACAGGGGTTAGGAATTGCTAATCGATAAATGTATCCTGAAATCGGACATCCAAGGTTAGGATTCGGATTTATTGTTATAAAATTAAAGTGCCGATTCCTCTTATTGATTTTTTCACGCTTATTTTCGTGTAAATCCTGACCTGGCGTTCTGCCATTATAACGTTAACGTTACCTCAGTGATAAAGTTGGACCGCGGAAAGCGCCCAAGGTGTATTTTTGTCCAAAATACAAAGCTATGTGTGACATTTACAGTATTTGTTGTGGTCTTTGTTAATCTTTGGTTATCATTAACGACACATACACGAGGGAGTTAGCCTGGTGTTGAACACTTTACTAGCGAACTTAGAATCAACAACAACAAAAAAACCCCGGGTCATACCAACTACACAAACTGCCTGGGGGTGTTCCGGTAGGAACCATTCACTGCATATACTACAGTATTGTCGGCTATAATATCATTTTTTTTTTTTTTTTTACTATGTGTAAACTGACATGTACTCATTTGAAGGGAACGATGCCTTGTCAATCTTTTTTTAAGTCATGTAACTTAGTATCACACAAGCAAGATTTAGCCTATGTTTTCACGTGATCGTAAATGAATTGATTTTAAACAACAGTCCAACAAACAAGATTTTAGTATTAAGTGAATTACACTTTAGACATCATTTTGTCTGTTTTTGCTGTTTAGCCAAAACAACAACAAAAACGTACTATATTTTAACTGTCTTGTCTGTTCTCCTTTTCCACAGGTGTGAGCTGTGCATGTTAAGAAGACCCCTATCCATCTTGACGACCGATGAATTGTAAATCTAATCTAATTTAATTATTCTATTTATCTAACTACTACTACTATACCTTGGTCCAGTACTGACCCACTGAGAACATTTTAAACAGATTATTATCCATCTGTGAATTTTGTCTATCTGCAAGTTGTTTAGAATTGTTGTGTGAAAATAAACGTTACTGTACAGTTTAAGGTTTAATTGCATAAAAGCTTGGATAGAAAACTTCCTATTGCAAAAGTTAGAACATAAGTCTGCATATAAATAATTATTGATACCGTAATGCAAGTTTTTCATGGCACATGTGCATGATGAGGTTGTTTTGTGTTTTTTTTTTTTTTTTTTTTAAAGGACACTGGATAACTTGTCATTTTGTTATACTCATCTGGATTGGTGGTTTACTCGTCAAAGCTTTTATAGTTTATAAGTTTATATGTGTCTCCCAGCCCTGCAAATCTGGTCCCTTAGATAGAAAGCAGCCAAAAACCCTTTAAAATCAGCAACTGACCAGTTAGACAGTCTATCTCAAACCAATAGACAATCTTAGACTAGTTTAAGCTGTTTTACCCCAGCAGGGAGTGGGTGGATGAGTTGTTATGAACTATCTTTCTAATAGATTGATCAGATAGCACCCCTTTAATCTTTTCTATTTTACCTGTTCATGATAATTTTTGCATGTATTTATGCATAATTGTTCATGATTGTCATGCATGATTTTTATTGTATTATATTACATTTTTATTATTAATGTATTTAATTGTATTAATGTATTTAAATGTATATTATGTAAATGTACTAATGTGTTTGAAAATACACAATAAACCTTGTGCAGTTAAAGCTTCAATTGTTCTTTTTTCTATTTCCCATTAACAGTTAAAATAATATTTCTACGGATTTTCTACAGGTTACACAGTAGCACTATAAAATAAATACAATAACATTTCATACTATACAGTATTATTAAAAATTAACAGTGTAATTCTGTACTTTAATATGGTAAGAAATTACAGTAAAATAATGTTATTTAATTTGCAGTATGCTTAACAGTACTGTAGTTAGTGTTACGGTAATTTTACTGTTAAATGAAATACAGCAAGTACTGGATAATTGTTGCCAGTAAGTTACTGTTAATTTGACAATAAATTTTTTACAGTGTACACATCAAATAATTATTTTCTTTTTGTAGCTATTGCAAGATAAATACTGTCATGTGTGAAGGCATATCTCTAAAGAAAGACCTACAGACTTTGGTCTGGCTGTTGTTGTTGGTTCAGATGGGCTTCTCATCTTTGGTCTGCATCTGTCCTAAAATTCCCAAAATATCTTAGGTTGATAAGCAGCAATGGGCTAGTCACTAAAAGTCGGCATTTTCTTCCCTATTGTGATGTATGTATTCAAATGTAACAGCTTCTGAAACAATAAAAAAAATGTAGGGCGGGACTTGGTTCGGTCACATTCCCAGGGTTCTCAGAAGCGGAAGCTGTTATATATGGGTAAACGTCTATAGCAAGGGAGATGACAGCAAATATATCTTTTGTATTTCAATTTGATCCAATATATAGCAAAAGAAAAAAATCTGTAAGAGTTTCCAAGATTTTTCAAAAAAAGGGAAAAAATAAGATTGTGTTGATTGATTGTGTTGGTCAGAGAGAAAAATGTCAAATTTGTCGTCAGTCCCTCAACCATTGTATTAGAAACAGCCTCGCAGCAGCGTTAATCCATTTCTTGACATTTACTGACAAGGTAATAAAACATATGCCGTTATAAATGTGTATTACATTTTGTTTTTTATTAAAATAGGGATAAATTAAATAAATGAAAATGGTCTATTTGGAATTGATTGGATGGTTGTGGTAAACATGTCATCGAAGAGATGTCGGGAGGGGAAGTTATTGTGATTAAAGGGTTAGTTCACCCCAAAATGAAAATTCTGTCAATTCTGTCTCATTGACTTCCATAGTATTTCCTACTATGGAAGTCAATGAGACCAGAAACTGTCTGGTTACTTAGAAATACCAGAAAATCATCTGAATGGATTTGAAAACGGTAAAACTCAACTGTTTAACACTGGGAGAGTGGTAAAATGAGCCTATTTCCAAAAAAGTGGAGTATCCCTTTAAGAGGGTTGGAACAACATGATGGTGACTAATTACGGTAGCACTTTACACTAAGGTTCATTAGTTCACATTAGTTAACAACAGTAGTTAGCATGAACTCATAATAAACAGCACTTATACAGCATTTAATAATCTTTGTAAATGTTAAATTCAGTATTTACTAATACTTTATTAAAATCTTGTAACAATAGTTAATGCGCTGAACTAAGATGAACAAACAATGAACAGCTTTACAACGGAGATTAACCAATACTGTAACAAATGTATTGCTCGTGGTTAGTTCATGTTAGTTAATACATTAACTAATGTTAACTAATGACAGAATTTTCATTTTGGGGTGAAATATCCCTTTAACGATTATGAGGGCACATGAATTTTAAACAAAGTATTGATGTAATAAATATCCCATTAAAAAAGAAAGAATTGTCCATTTTGATTTCATGATGACATTAAATGCGTTTTTGAGCCTCAAGTATCTGTTGAGTGTACATGACCTTATTGGATTTAAAACAGCACACCCCGGCACTAAGTAAATGCATGCACACATTTTTAGGATGCATCATTTAGGTCTGAGACTTTAACAGATGCAGATGTGCACACTACTTTTCTGCTGCAAGAGCTTTATTTAGTTGTAAAGCTAACATTAAATATTTATCAGAGAAAACTGTGTAAACGCTGCATGATTTATTGATGACATTGTTGTTTTGGTCATGTGAAAATGTAAGTGCATATAAGTGTTAAGGCTTTATGCTCTTGTCTTTCCCATAAAGGCTTACTTCAGCACAATTTGAGTGTGACCTCTCTTTCTCTCTGTATTTTTCTTCCCCACTCTGTTCTTTTCACCATCTCACTCTATAATTCACTGTAGGGTTTTCAGTTGGACTGGAATTTTGTGCAGGCAGAACATCTAGAGTCACTGCGTTCTTTTAGGTTATAATCAAAAGCAGGCAGGATCAGTACACTGTTGTCTGATTGCACAGGAACATTCTCCTCGTCCATGGTCATTATATTTTGCACAAGACACATGATGGCTGCATCAATGTTTGTGTTGTCCTGTTAAAAAAAAGAGGAAGGAAGAATATGAGTAGCAATGTCTTTTAACATGTGCAGCTACTAGCAAGGTTAATATATTAGTTAAAAAAAAGCCTATAATTTGTACCTTTGCAGACGTCTCATACCAACCCACAAAATTATGGTCCCTGGAGAAATTGTCGAGTTTGGGCATTTTGGCGCATAAACCATATCTCTGTTGGTCACACTTGTTGGCCAGCAGGACAGCTGGCAGAGGACGCCCACTGCCAAGGGCAACTTTAGAATCAAGATCTTTTTTCCATTTCAACACAGCTTGGAAAGTGGAAGCACGAGTCATGTCAAAAACCACAAGTGCCCCTACGGCCTCTCGGTAATACACACGTGTCATGTTGCCATACCTCTCTTGTCCTGTGAATGAAGGAAAAAAAAGTAAAAGATAGTTCATGTGTGTTATTTAAGTCCTATTTTTTCTTGTTTTATGGTCTTGAAGTGGAATTTCGCAATTTTCTTTTCTTTCTTTTTTTCTTAGATTGACAAAACTTTAAAAGTGTGGATGGTTTCCTTGACTGCAGACAACAGACATCTCCATTCATCCCAGATTTGTCAGGATAGTTAGCTTACTGTGCTCAACCGTGCTGGTTTGTAATAATTTAAAGGAACTTTTCCAAAAATTAAGGAAAAATTAAGGTTTTTGATGAAAACATTCCAGGATTTTCTCCATATAATGGACTTCAATGGGAACCAAACGGTTCAAGGTCCAATGAGAGTTTCAGTGCAGCTTCAAAGGGCTTTAAACGACACCAGACGATAAATAAGGGTCTTATCTAGCGAAACGGTCAGTCATTTAAAAAATTTTATAAGCACAAATGCTCGCTTTGCTCTGTTCTGTGATGAGCGTTTGTGACTCTCCTGTTCAAACTCGTTCATCAAAATGAACAAATCTCTTTTCGAGTCATGACTCGAAGGGTCCTAAGACCCTTATTCATCGTCTGGTATCGTTTAAAGCCCTTTGAAGCTGCACTGAAACTCTCATTTGGACCTTGAACCGTTTGGTTCCCAATGAAGTCCATTATATGGAGAAAAATCCTGGACTGTTTTCATCAAAAATCCTTATTTCTTTTCGTCTGAAGAAAAAAAAGAAGTGGACATCTTGGATGACATGGGGGTGAGTAAATTATCAGCAAAAATTTTATTAAAAGTGAACTATTCCTTCAAAGGTTCTTCACGGAACCAAAGATGCCAACAAAGAACCTTTATTTTAAGTATTTTTACATAACGTTATAGATAACTCGTTCATATATTACTAATATACCAGCCTATTATGTCAATAAATATCTTTTGTGGCTAGTCTGGGAACTTTTCCCTTTTAATTACCATTCTAATCTTGATTTCACAGCACCACATGGAAAAAACGATGGTGACATAATCATGTCTGGATCAGGACTGTTTCACAACGAGAACCATTTGGCCTGATGGTATATAAAAAGGTATTTTGTGGATGAAGGACCTAATATGTAGCTATAAATGCATTGTCATGCTGAAAATCAAGGCAGACTGAGGCTAGTTAGACTGTCACAGCTAGTACAGGGTTCCCAGTGTAGTATCTTGAAATTCGATCTCATAAGGGCCTCAGTTGTGAGGCCATAAACTACTGCATTCAATTGGGGATGAGACTGTCTTGCAATCTATTTTTCTCAGTAAAGTCCATGCTCAAGGGTGCAGTCATCAATATTACATGCTTTCACAGTCAATAAACTATGCTTATATAAATCTTTATTTAAATCTCATCAGTTTTTGTGAATTTAACGTCTTTTTACAAACATGACAAACAAAACACAATTCCATTCTGTCAGCCATGTTGAATTTAATGCATTGTTTTCTGGTGCGATTCTGTGCGTGTGAGAGCAATGGAAAAGTGTTTGAGTGTTTTCACATGAGACCAATATAAGCACGAGACCAAACCAGTGAATATAAACACGGGACACACATTCCTGCCCCTGCAGCTTTAGTTTAATCTGAGCATAAACACAGAGAGGGATTCATAGCACTGTGAGGTCACTCACAACAGCTGAGAGAAAAAAAAAATATCCCAAACAAGTCATCATTTGGAATGTATTTAATATGTCCAAGCCAAATGTTTAAGGCATTACTCCAGTAATATTATTCATCTCATTCTGTCGTTTTGTGTGTGATTATTTTTCTTAAGATCAAGTATTATGTTGTAATGGTGCAAGATTTACTGTGGATGGTCAATAAAACATCAGTGGTAGGAAATCTTTTTTCCTAATTTCATTTCATTTCATTTGTTAGTTTGTTTACCTATTGGGTAACACACTTTACTTGAAGGGGTGTGCACAAGACTAACATGACACCTTCATAATCATGACATGACATATGTTATGAATATGAAGGATGTTTTATGCATGTTTGTGACAACTGTCATTAAATGTCTTTCGCTCAATAATGACATTTTGAATGCAAATATGACATTGTTTAAGATGTCTTTGTTATGACATCTTGACATAAACCAATACATCATAACCTGTCAATGTCTTTGACATGAAAAATTGACATAAAATTAAGTTAAATTGTCATGTGGTTGGTTTTGACATTGGCTGTCATGAGGCCATTATAACTGTGTCATGAATATTCCTCAACTACAGTGGTAATTGAATTTGTCATTAAAAAGTTATAATGGCTTCATGACAGCCAATGTTAAAACCAACCACATGACAGTTTAATGTAATGTTAACCAATAAAGCTAAGTGGTTTCTTAAGTTTGATAATTAATGTCATGTGTCTTATGTCAAGTTGTCATGACAAAGACACTGACAGGTTATGATGTGAAGAGTTCAGATGCAAAAGCCTCTAAATGCCATTTGAAATTTTCTTCTTTAATGATGATTTTTATCAAACTTGTATATTTAAGTTCAGTAATTTTACTTAAATAACAATTAATAGGTAATTATCATTGCCATTTAAGTGAAATCACTGAACTTAAATATACAAGCTTGATAAAAATCATCATTAAAGAAGAAAATTTCAAATGGCATTTAGAGGCTTTTGCATCTGAACTCTTCATGTATTGGTTTATGTCAAGGTATCATAACAAAGACATCTCAAACAATGTCATATTTGCATTAAAAATGTCATAACTGAGCAAATGACACTTAATGACAGTTGTCACAAACATGCATAAAACTTCCTTCATATTCATAACATATATCATGTCATGATTATGAAGGTGTCATGTTAGTCTTGCGCACACCCCTTCAAGTAAAGTGTTACCAAAAAGGCTAACAAATATCACTGAATATTATTTTAGCACTTTATTTTATATTTAAGACAACATAAATATATAGTCTAATATAGGCTATCTAACGATGTTTTCTTGTAGGCCTATATCAAGAGTTTAGTTGAATGGTTTTAGAATGGTAAATTGTAGGACACAGCTGTCACTGCTTGAAATCTCCACTCAATTGCCCATATGTTCATTTCTTTACATAGGCTTATTGTTTTTTTGATAAGGTAGCTATCTGTGACTTAACTTATCGACAATCATTAACATTGCAAGCAAAAGCAAGGAATATAGGCTATCAGTAACTGACCTGCAATGTCCCACAACTGCAATCGAATGACTGTCCGGTGATCCCAATTCAGGACTTTCAGAGCAAAATCCACACCGATAGTTGCGCGGTAATGTTGAGAAAAAATCTGATGCACATAACGCTTTATGATGGAAGTCTTCCCCACACCTAAATCTCCAATGACAAGTACTTTGAGTAACCGCTCCTGCTGCATTTCAGCAATCTAAACTACATGACAAATATGCAGAAGAAAGAAAGCTTTTATTTTTATCTCTGTAAAATTAAAGTCGTGTAAGGCGGAAAAGCTATAAACAGAACAAAAAACGAACTGCGTTCCGTCGGAGCCTTGGACGCGCGCCTGACAGTTGTCAAACGTTTCTTCGGAGGTGAGAAGTTTCACACTTAATTTGCCAGTCGACAACTTTTCATCAGGCGGTGGATCCGCTGTCAAGTCTTTCCAACAAACTTTATTTAGCCTAAGCCTTTCTGACCGATCTCTTCAAGAAGCTCACTCTTCCCAGTCTGCTTAACTAAACTTTAAGACTAGGAGGAGATTTTGATCGAGCGTTTAGTATCAAGAATCGCCTATAAACTACAGCTCCCGTCATTCTGATTATCTGGTGTGTTTGTCATAAAACTTCAAATAGATGGCGCACATGAAAATACATTGACACTTTATCAATTGACTAAACTTAAAGGAAGATTAGTGTCTCAAGACGAAGTAGCCTACTACTTTTCATGATGTTTCAACCAGCCTAAATGTTAATGTATTAAAACAATATTTAGGCTATAATTTCCATGTGGTACCTACATATAGGCCTAGCCTAGAGCTATCTTTCTTTTAGCTGCATGGTTTAAAAGGATAGTTGACCCAAAAATATAAATTGTGTCCTCGTTTAGCTACTCCCTCATGTTGTCCCAAACCTGTATGAGTTTATTTCTTCTGTTGAACACAAAAGAAGATATTTTGAAGAAATTTGGTAACCAAAGAGTTGTTTTGTCCTATATGTCAATGGCTGTTTGGTTACCCACATTCTTCAAAACATCTTCTTTTGCTACATTTAAAAAACAAAAACAAAAAAAAGTGTAATGAAAATCAATGATGTGGTCAAACCTGCTGTTCAATGGGCCAAACATTCAAAATTGGGAAGTTTAAGGTAAAACTTTGGGTGTAAACATGCTTTAATTTGGTCTCCAGCCTATAGGCTAACGTTACACGGCCATAAAATCTAGGCTATTTGTAGCCTATTATCTAGTAGTCTATTAGTAGATTAATGTTTAAAGAACAGCATTTTCGTTTGATTGGTGAATTTCCAAGATGAAAATGGTGTACGAAACACGTTAAAAGGAGGGGAATGTATGCGTGTATGAAACGCGCATGTCTTTCGCTGCTATTAGGAGGCTTATGGTACTGGTGCTGATGCGGAATGAGTCAGGCTATATGATGCTTCTGCTGTCGCTTCCATTTCATCAGCACAAAACATCCAAACATTTCTCCATCTTCCAAGCGTGGATCAAAACATGACAGGCATAAATCATCTTTGACTTCCACGCGACTTTGATCCCGGCAGGGAGCATTTTAACAACACGTCGACTCACATTTAGCAACATCCAAGCAAAATAGACCGCCTACGCGGAGCAGTTAAGGTTTGCACCTGTTTTTTTTTCTGTAGAGACGAATGTTTTGTTTATTATTCGGTATATTATGTAAATAGTTTATGTCCGTCATTTATCCAGCGGTTTCTAAAGAGGCCTCAATCCTTTAAAGATTATGGAATCTGCCGTTTGGTAGCTTTGAAACGACCAAACAAAACAAAAAAACAATGTAAGTAAAGAGCGCCGAATAAGGGGTCTTTTTTCACAGGTGCTTCTACACAGACAAAGCTTGTTAAACAGTTGTCTGTTTTGCAGATTTAGAATAAGAAACATTCGTTATTATGACAAGGCCAATGATAGCCAGCTACTAGACTAGCCCAGCCACCAGGCGAGCCTCAGTAAGAACAGGCTCGCTGACCAAACTCAACTGGTAAATGAGTTTGTATCGAGTTTCCTGCATATATGAATAAAGACCTATTAACTCAAATTACAAAAAAAGATACTTAGTAATTAGGTTAGATGTAACATTTAAGATCAATCATCGTTGTTATTAGTATGTGTACCTATATCCATTACTGAAAAAGAGCATTATGTTCATCCAAACATAGTATGGACATGGAATTGGCGTTGCCAGTTCTCCCACTTTACTTGTATTCATCCTATATTTTAGTTATGAAAATGTCACCTGTTAAGATGAACTTTAGGGATAGGTAAAGTTTAAACCACCAGACAGTTATTTCTTTATGCCTTGAAATCATTTTGTGCCTCAACTACCTTTATGCGCAGAGCAAAGATAGAGTTGACTGAGAAGATTGTCATGCCATGATCATGTAATTGCTGTAATATTTATAACTACAACATTCCCAGATGAGGTTATATGAATTACAAAAGCTTTAAAGCGAACTTTACTACATTTCCTCCTTTTATGTCAAGCTGATTTGGCTGAATAAAATAAGGAATGTTTCTCTTTCTTTTCAATTTTGTCTTTGAAAACCATGAATATTTGTTTTGGCAGTATCTTACTAACAGTATAATTTCACTTCTCTACTTTTTGCTTTTACAGACCTGAATAGACATGGAAGCAATTTGGCTTTACCAATTTCGACTGATTGTCATCGGGGACTCCACTGTTGGAAAATCATGTTTAATCAGGCGATTCACAGAAGGCCGGTTTGCGCAGGTGTCGGACCCGACGGTCGGGGTGGATTTTTTCTCCCGCCTGGTGGAGATCGAACCTGGGAAACGCATTAAACTGCAGATTTGGGACACGGCAGGCCAGGAACGCTTCAGGTATTGTGAATCTTTATCTTGGATTATGTTATGAGACCTTTCTCATATATCATGTATATGTATTTATTGTACATATGGATGGTTTACCTAAGACAATTTAAATCCTATATACCCCCAGTTACATAAAGATATACAGTATGTCTATGTAAATAATATCATTAGTTCAGAAATATTTTTATGCTAATGGAAACATTATTTTACACATTTAACTTTGTGCAGTGTGAAATAGTTTACTCAAAAGAAACCTCAACTGTATTAAGTTTCAAGATAAATTTAGATACATCATCTTTCTTATCTGATCATGAGTCCTTATCCATCCACATGATCGGTGTTTCCATGGTATCCGTGCTGATGTATTTCTCCCAGACAGACTGATTCACACAGACTGATTCACACGTCACTAAAAAAATATTTTCCACCTTTGGTGATTCAGAGACACTGTCTTTATTTATTTATTAACAAATGCAGCTCAAAGGCCTCTTTACCAACACAAGGTTTTGTAGAACTCCTATAGGAAATAGAAATAATTGATGAATCACTACCATCTACAATGTCACAAATGTCTTAAAACTTAAAGTGATGTCAGTAACTCCCGAGGTCCCTCAGCATCCTTCACAGCTCAGTATGTTCCCAGTGGTACTCCTACACAATCTCAGACCTCTTGTACAGTCTCACTCTGATGCCTTTTTACAGTTTTTTCCCCTACCTTGTTTTCTTCCCTGCCTTCTGTTGCAGTTTTACATTTCCTGTTATACACATAAATACCTTTATCGGGTTGATCTATCTAACTATCTATCTATCTATTAGGCCTATAAACTTCAATCTTCAGTTGTTTTAAAGCTTTTTTCTAAACTATAAAACAAGGCCTTTTGAAGCCACCATTTAAAGTCTATTGTTGTGAAATGTGCTTTTCTAGTTAAAATTACAGTTATATGAATTTATTTGAATTTCAGTTAATTTTAAAATGCAAGTAACGGCAGATATTTTCTTCCATATTGTGATGTACCACCAAGTGAAAAAGATTATCGAAAAGAAATATAGTGTAGGACAGGGTCTAGGTTCAATCCATTGGTTGTAGATTGGATAGAGCCAGATCTGAATCCAAGTCATTTTCAGTTATTCGTAAGACAGACGTGGAGTTTAAGTGAAGTCAATGTCTTGTTGGCTAGAAAGATCATACTATTCAACTTGTGCTTAAGATCTGTGTGGAGGATGTGAGCCAAGTTGTCAAGAAACAGAAGATCAGGAAAGCTTCAGGCCCAGATGGTTTCGCACCTGGCTGTTTAAAAGTCTGCACAGACCAACAAGCCCCAATCTTCATTGGAGCAGTGTGAAAAGTTTCCTGCTGCTTCAAACGCTCCACTATCATTCTGGTCCCCAAAAACCCCCAAATCACTTAATGACTACAGACCTGACACTCTCACATCTGTGGTCATGAAGTCATATGAGGACTGGTGTTTGCCTACCTGAAAAACATCACTGGACCCTTGCTTGATCCTCTTCAGTTTACCCACAGAGCAAACAACTCTGTGGATGATGCAGTCAACATATCGACAACATCTCGATAGACCTGGGACTTATGCAAGATCTTATTTGTTGACTACAATTCTTCAATACCATCATACTTGATCTTCTCACAGCCAAACTGACTTAGCTCTCTGTGCCCACCCAAATCTGTCAGTGGATCACCAGCTTACGGACACAGGCAGCAGCAGCTGGACTGGGGAAACTCACATCCAGGACTTTAATCAGCACTGGTGCTCCTCAGGGTTAGATCCTCTCTCCACTGCTCTTCTCACTGTACACAAATGACTGTCCCTCTAAAGACCCCTCAGTCAAGCTCCTGAAGTTGACACCACTGTCATCGGCCTTAGGATGGTGACGAGTCTGCATACAGAAAAGAGGACGAACAACTAGCTGCCTGGTGCAGTCATAATAACCTTGAGCTGAACATCCTCAAAACAGTGGAGATTATAGTGAACTTCAGGAGGAACACCCAAGCACTCCCCCCACTCAACATCACGAGCAGCACTATGGCAGCAGGGGAGTCATTCATGTTCCTGGGCACCAGAACTGAGACAATCACATTGACTATACCAGCAGAGGTTGCTGCTCAGCTGGCATTCAGTTTGTCGTCTTCTATAACTGATCTATAACTGACTGGTTTGGTTCAGCCACCAAATCAAACATCAGGAGACCACGACGGACAGTATGGATTGCAGAGATGATTATTGTTGCCCCCCTGCCCACCCTTTCAGGACCTGTACACTTCCAGAGTGAGAAAACGAGCAAAGTAAAAGACTCCATATCATAGACTCCACTCACCCTGGCCACAACCTGTCTGGACGGCACCTCAGATCACTTTGCACTAGAACATCTAGGCACAGGAACAGTTTCTTCCCACAGGCTATTTTCCTCTTGAATAGTTAAATGCCTTAATAGTTAAGTGCAATACCCCACTTTTTTTGGGCAATATCCTTGTAAATTAATTTAGTCCTATTTATTCAAAATTGTATTCACAATACTGTAAATATGTTCTTCATAATTTATAAATGCTTATTCAGACTAAACCTATCTGTGCCTTTTTGATTGTTAAATGTACTGGAAGCTTCAAAACAAAGGTGCAATCACTCTTGGTAAAGCTCTTTTTTATATAATTTCTGAACATCCATAAATTGTTCATCGATCAGATCAACAATTGTTCAACGAATTTACAATTCATACCAAATGTAATGCTACCTTACATTTACCTCAATTCAAATTCAAGAACATTATTTAATTCTGTTATGCTTTCTTCAGGTCTATTACCAGAGCGTACTACCGTAACTCTGTGGGAGGTCTGCTGCTCTTCGACATAACCAACCGTCGCTCCTTCCAGAACGTTCACGAGTGGCTGGAGGAAGCACGCAGCCACGTGCAGCCCCACAGCATTGTCTTCCTGCTGGTCGGCCACAAGTGTGATCTGGAACCACAGCGTCAGGTGAGCCGGCAAGAGGCTGAGAAGCTAGCGGCTGCGTACGGCATGCGCTATGTGGAAACTTCGGCACGTGACGCCATAAACGTGGAGAGGGCATTTACGGAGCTAACACGGGATATATTCGAGCTGGTAAAGAGTGGGGAGATTACCATCCAGGAAGGCTGGGAGGGAGTGAAGAGTGGGTTCGTACCAAACGTGGTGCATTCGTCAGAAGAAGTGACAAAGGGTGATCGTCGATGTTTCTGTTGAGTCAGCAATCACCACCCTGGTACCGATCAAACCTCTGGGCCCTGGTGGACAAAAGAAACACTTCCTCCAATCACAGGGTCAGTCTTCAACTCCCTGATTATGACATCATCATCCCCTTCCTGCCTGCTGAATGCCTAATCGAGTCCCACCATGCCCTATTGCTTCACTTTTCTATACTACTTTGCTCATGTCCCTAATCACACAATCTTGTATATGGCCAAAATGAACTCTGTTGACTGCTAAGAATGTAAGGTTAGTAAATAACCTATCGCAGAACCCATACCGAAATGGCCAGTCTGCACTTTTACTGTATCTGCACATCTGCCATTATTCTATTGAGCCACGAAAGTTAAACTTCCCAAATAAAGATGTTTTAGCTTTGGATATCTCCCGTCTCCAGGACTAAGCTCCAAGTATCTTCTACTGGTCTCTATTATGGGAGAGATAAGAGACTAACAGAAGTTTAACTTGCTTACTTCACAGATGAATGCCGGGAGACCCATTTCTGGTGACTCAAAGATCTCAGACTTGAAAAATGTGATTGCTGGAGGTGTGATGTGTCTGATTATTGACTTTTAGCAACAGGGAAGATACAAGGAGGGAGATAAAATGCAATATACTACGTGAAGAATTCCAAGACTGAAAAACCCATGACCTGTAATGTTTCTGAATAATCCCCAAAACTAGGTTTTCAATTTTAATTGTGGTGTGAGACAAGTATGTCACTCAGATGGTATGATAGTCCATAACATCACCCAAGACGTTTGTTATAATTATGTAATGTGAAGATTGATAAGGGACTACTCAAAGTACATCCTTGAGCCCCAGATGGATTGTTCAATTTGTGCATTATTTTACAATAACATCTCACTTATCACACATTGCCACAAGAGGCCTCTGGTGTTCACCAGAATTACAAATAAACCTTAATCTGTTGTTAGGTACATCTTTTACACCTTTTATCCCAAAGAGTGTTTCTGATGTTACAGCTTGTGATTGTACTATCTAATGTGAAAAAAGCAAGCTCTTCCTTTAGGTTTCCACACTGCCCAGTGAGGGCCTTTGTACATGTTCATATATTCTGTACTATCCATAGAGCTTGCATTGCCATGTATTTAACCATTACTTTAATCATCTATAGCATCTTTACTTTTTGAAATGACTTGCTCTTCACTTTCACTCTCATCCCTAACAAAATAAACCCATAGCCGCTTTCTCAAATCTGATTGGAGATGATTTGTCAATACTGTCCATAACTGTGCACAATTGGCTGAGTAGTTACTACGTCACGTTATTGGATACAGTTAAGCCATTTCTAAACATGGCTGAAACAGGGTCTCAGGGAAGGACCAAAAGATTTTGAATTGTGTTGACGAATCACTCTTTAAACTTTTTTTGATGCTGATGTGGATTTGCAAGGACTGGCTGTACAAACACTACTGACTCTGTACCTCTTTAACAAGGGAACTTGAAATGTACTACAGATTAAAGTAACATGTTAAATACGTTCTTGTTGTACATTATACAATATATCTACATTCCATCCACTATTTAGGGGTCATTTTACAGTTTAATGAGGATATTATCAATTTAACAGTTGTGCTGCTCCAAAAGAATGTAATTGAAAGCCAATGGAAGTTTAACACAAAATTAGTAGTTTCAGTAATGCACAAGTGCTTGCCAAAGGTTGAAAGAAAGGGACAGAATTGCATGCACATATTTAATTAGTTGCACTCAAAGCTTTTTCATCTCGCTCACTGCCAGAACCTCAATCAGACGAGGAATTATAAAAAGCTACGCAGATTAAAAACACAGACCAGCTCACCAAATTTGTGCCTTCTCAAAACGCTTCATTATTAGTTCCTTGTTCAGTGTTTAATGGCTACAGTGTGACAAATGAACACAGATGAAGGACAAGAGATGAAAAAAGGAGGAAAAGGGAAGTTGAGAAGGAAGCAAGGTATTGAATGAAACCAGACGTCCCCTTGATATTCTGCATGCAGCATTTTGACAATGATCTCACCACGTTTTGGCAAGAAAAATTCCACAGAAAGAAATAGGACCATATTGCAATGTTTACCAAACATCAAATGAAAGGAAAAAGGGCACAGAGGAAGACTAATGTGTAGACCCTATGGAGAAATCTGAAGAAAAAAAAATCAGAATCTGAAAAAGCTAATATTTCATCATAAAAAACAAACAAAAAAAACCTACCATTATTTTGTTTGATGTTTTTTTCACCTTTTTACTTGAAAAAATACCTTAAAAAGTAATAAATCAACAGATAACAGTTGGTGCAAACAGAGATGTTGGTGAATTTTCTGATGGGGAAGGAATTCGAGTGGGGTGGGACCAAACTAGGCCTCCTTTTCTAGGACTGCTCAGCAGATTTGAGGAGGTTGTCTTTGCTCCTTCTCTTGACATCCCAATTGTAAACACGTGCCATATCTGTGAGTAATGGTTAAGGTATATCTGAAAACTTTGGAAAGTTATTTCTGCTTTTTTCCTTACTCCATAACCAGGAGGAACATGTTCCACTTAGATGACTCAAGTCAACAAATCTTTCATTAAACAGATTCTAACAGGTGGTGAGGACAGGTGGCACATATGGCCTGTCTCTGATGTGCATGAATGCGTCCTTTCTTGAAAGATATCTACATACATCATGCCATTAAAAACCATGAGTTTGCTAAGGCAGAGAATGTGATGATGTGGAATATTCCTGAGCAAAATTCACTCAATGATCACATAAGCAACACACAACATCTATAAATATCCGCATTCATAAATATTAACCGTTTCAATCACATTACAGCTATGACAAACACAATTACCCCTTTTCCACAAATAGTGTTGGAGCCAGTGCATCTGCCCATAGCTATTTTTCCATCCAAAGCTGTGAATTTTACTATTTAATATTTTACAAAAATTAAATATTGCATAAAACATTTGCAAATAATGGGACCATTTCCATCATGTGTTCAAGAGAACAAAATCGTCACTTCAGGGGAAATTGGAGCAAAATATCTGTAATAAAAATGGATTAAGCATCTCAGAGTGCAGACGAAACGCAATATACATTGTCACGTTTGGATGCCTGGTGTTTGGGAATACAATCACGTGAGACGCTTCTGGGAGGGAATTAAACCAAATAATTTTGATGACAAACTTCGGCTCAGGCATTTCAGAACGATCAAATCAACGTTTGAGATTCTGTGGAATGAAACTGGTCCACTGGTTAGTCCAGTTATCCAATCACATCCTCTGCTGAGGCAAAGTAATTTGAGTTTTTTGCTACGCATCGAGGGATATATTCAGTAAATTTGTTTTTGTCGTAGTTTATGTGCTTCTTATCAGATAAAAAAAATGACCAGCCTCAATTAAGTGCATAAGTTTTCTATGCACATTTTTTTACATTTTTAGATCTTGCTAAAAAACATTGGTGGCTGGAAAAAGCTCTTCTCTCTTGGAAATTACCTGCATTTCCACTTATTTGAGGGCCCGAATAATGTAATTGACATGACTGTCAAGTCATACTCATAGCTTTGAGAACATTTTACTAACTGTCATTAATTCAGAATCTTTATGCAATCACAAGCTGGCTTATGAGGCAACCGTCAGAATGTATAAAACAAACTTAATTCAATCATGTCATACACACGATTTTTGTAAAAAGAAATACGTTTTTGGTGGAAGGATGCAGAATGGACCAGGTTGGGCGCAAACCAGCACTAGTAGCAGAATCAACATTGTCTAAAAAAAGCACAGATGTGGACTATAAGAACACAGCTATATCAATGCTAAATCTGAACAAGATTCATTATAACATAATAACAAGAAACAAAGGGCAATGTCTCAATGCTCTCCATATTAAAACTGATAATGTAAATACTGAACAGATTAATCTCTTTCGGATATATGCATATGCTAAAGTTCAAAAGTTGTTTTTTTTTTAAGAAAAAAAAACATTTTTAATCAGCAGGGATTCATTATTTGACCAAAAGTAAAAGTAAAGACATAATGTTAGCAAATTATCTAGGCTATTTCACCTAAATGCAGTTCTTTTGAAATTTCTATTCATCAAAGAATCCTGAATCACGGTTCCCACAAAAGAGTGCTTAAGCAGTGACTGTTTTCACTGTGATTATACAAATACTTTTGAGTAAAGGACTAATCAAACACAATGAGCACTATAGAAAATTATTAATTCAAACCTGATTCTCTATATTTGCCATAGTTTAAGGATACTGACTTCAGTGGTTGTGAACTGGTCTCTGAGGAAGTCCAGGTCCTCTTCCAGAGAGTCCAAATTACGGGAAGCTGTACCCAGGTTTTTTTCCAACAGCGCCTGAGCCTCATCAATATCATACTCCAACATGACATTAGCCTAATAAACAATAACAGTACCAATAAGCAAGTTTTCATAATAACAATTAAAAACTTGTTTCTGGACATTATCATAATGAAAGTTTTTCAAGCCCAGAAAGTTACTTGAGTGTTTGTCTTTTAGCAGAAAAATTTGATTGAAGCAATTGGGTATGTTCAAATATAGGCAGTAATCATCAATGTCAAAACAGGAATATTAAAGTCAACATATAATGGTTCACAACTCATTTTACTTCTATTAAGTGATGCAACCAATGATGACTAATTAAAACAGTGCTTGATTTTATCAGTCAGGAAATGATTGGACATGAACAGTAATCTCTATATGACAGATGGTTAATTAAAAAAAGTAAATAGGATCAATTTTTAATACAGCAATCAACACTTACCCCGAGCCACAAACACACTTTGTCTGTGGGTGGGACAGAGGCCTTGCAATAGACGTTATCAGCCAACAGAAAATGTGTCTCCATGGGATCTGTAGTGTCCTGTGATTGGACATACATTATTCAGAACAGAAAAACAAACAAAAAGAAGAGCCACAGTGCAAGAGTGATTGAAAATGACAAAAAAAAAACAAACACTTGCTGTACACAGCATCCCATTAAGCATACTATACATTCTAAATAGTCATTAGAATTAATGTGTCCCTAATTATAGTATGTGGAAATGAGTGTCCAAAAAGTACACGAAGAGTCTACAATATCCAGTGAGTGCAGATTCGAATTTCAGATCCATAAAAAATATTAGGGTAATATCAACCACAAACTATTGCACTTTGGAGGAGCAATAAAACCCACAAACATGGAAGACATGCAAGACTCGTGGTTAAGTAGAGAGGTTTAGATAAAAGGGCTTGAGTCTTTTATTTCTAGCCTGCAAAAACATTGTTAAATTTGCACGCAAGACCCACAACTGGCAGATCAATGTGCTTCTTTTCTTCTTTTCTCTCCAATATTGTAAGAAGAATTGTTGAGTAGCATAAATTAAATTAACTGAAAAGTGGAATGTGTGTGCGAGGATGTTAAAATCACAATACAATAAAAGTAGCGACAGATCACAATAAGATTTATGACATGCATTCAGCAAAAAAGAAAGGGTGAATTTTCATTTTATGCAGACTTTAACTGGGATAAGATAATTGACAGGCCAGTTTACGGTGACAGGATGCACTATGTAACAGCGCAGCCCATTAAAAACACAATTATGACGTAGTAGTATGTTCCTATACTTGCCTATTCTTCTGCTACACACTCTTTTCTAAACAATAAGAACACACTTTTAGGGCATAGTACAAATAAAAGAATTGGGATGGGGCAACTCATTTTGAAGCAATATTTTTAGGAATTAGAAAGCAGATCTTTGATATGCGTCCCTCCATCTATTCACATGTATGGAGATTTAAGAGTTAAAACTCATCTTAAAGGAGTGATGGGCTTACCTTCTTTTTCTGCATGTGCCGTAGAATTTCTAATGTCTGTTTGATTTGTGGAATCTGGCTTTTCAACCTGAGAAAGATCAAAAACATGTCATCTTAAAATAAAATCAGCAACGATGTTTTATCCTTACTCTGTGTGATAAGTTAGACTTATTAAAGGCAGTAGTAAATCACTGTTTATCTAAAGGACAAGAGTAGTCTACAACAATGCAAGAAAACCAATACAGACGCAGAGCATCCTTTAGAATTGACACAGAAACTAATCATTACTGTACAACGTACTAAAAGGATTAATAATTGTCATACCTGAGTTTCTTCTGAGACAGATTGAGCTCCATATATTTATATTTCTGATATTGTTCATCCAGCTTCCTCAGTACGGCGTCTGCTGTGTCATTGCCTGGCTGTTTCATGAAGGCATCCACATCTTCCTACAGAACCACAGTAATAGTTAGCATCTTTAAGCGCTTTTATTAATTAATTTATCCTATCAAGTATTTAAATACTGGTTAATCGTGTTTTATGTGTCACTCAAAGCTCACTGGACCTTCAAGATATAAGCAAGTAATGCCTGCATCCTTATAAGGAGAAGAGCAAGGCGCTTTCTACCTAAGAAAGCCGTTTAAAAAACCAACACAACAACACAGAGATTTCACGGGAAACTATGGACAATAATATGGACACGAAAATTAACTATATGTCATATTCCCACTGACCACAAATATTGCTTCGGGGATTCCGAGGTGTTTTTTCTTATTTGCAGCTCCAGCATTGCCACTCTCTATGGTCGTCGCCATTTTGGAGAGACTTGCGGCCCTTCCTCTTGACGCACGCGCCCGTTGCTCTTACGCACGCACGAGCGCTGCCTGCAAAATAAAAGTAAAGGAATCTGCCTCTAAGCCGTGATGTATTTTAAGGATCCATCTATGTTTTTTTGTTTTCTTTTTTGGTCATATTCACATCTATCGTGCTTCAAAATGTTCCTGATGTTCAAATTCAGTGCATTATTCAAATTTAGTGAGCGTTCTTGTCCGCTTCGTCACTTTACAAATCAGCCTGCAGATGTCAGTGTTTCCCAAATATCCCCGAGAAAGAGCACGAGGCGGTGGCCGTGACGTATGCAGTGGGTGGTACGCCAGAAGTTTGATCTAATAGATAAGGTGTGAAATAAAAAAAAACGACAAATACAATAACCAATTATCTTCAATTTGATTTTAAATGATATTGAGCCAGGTCTCTGTTTTGCATACTAAAACAATAGGCTACTATACAAGAGAGGTGCAGACACGTGTTTGTTACTGCCACCTTCAGCACAGCCCTTCACTGTGTGCATTACAAGTGAAAGTGAGTAAGTGAGTCTGCGCACGAGCAGTTATACTAGAACATGCTAGCAGCATACAACTCTTACTATTTCTGCCATAGAAAGATGTGGAAAAAGTAGCAGCTGGGAAACCAGCAGTGTTTTTTGTTTGTTTTGTTTTTTGTTATTGGATAATGCACTTTCGATCAAATGCAAATATTATGATACAATTATGCATATAAATTATCAACTAAATACTTTGTAAAGCTCACAGACATTTAAATTATTTTCTTCTGAGAGCTCATACTTGTACTACGCGTTCCACCAGGCACCAGAATTCTATTAATTTCATTCATTCCGAGGACGTGTGAACGCCTTGTGTTTGGATAGACTCACCTTCTCGCTGTGATTGCTTGAAAAAAAGTTCCTTTTTCATGCCTGTCATTTGAAAGACTTGCAGGTGTATATGCTTGAATAACTCGGTCTCCCGCAGTTGGGTTCATCACCCTATCTCTGTCGACTGGTGAATCGTGACAAACACATTCGTCAGAAACGATAAAAATGTCCATTGCTGTCACTTAGCTTACCCGTTGTAATAGAAGCCAAGCATCTTTAATTCGCGTTTTTATTGACTGACAACAAGGCAACATAACACAATACATAGCGTTATAAATGCGTCTCAAATGTTTAAAAAAAAAATGAAAATCTTTAGTAGATTTGCAATGTTGATAGGCTAACTGTGGAAACGTGTCATCACAGTCTGTGAAAAGGGTCGCAGGAGGTTCTGTTGACAAGTGAACCAATGTGGCAACGAGTTGTAGCCTACCAGTTGCTGTGCAGTATCTACAATCAAGAATAGGCCTATTTACAAGATGGAGTTTATATGGCTTCATTTAAACCAATGGCTCTCAAACTTTTGACTACAACATTGTCAATTCAGAGGCCCCTTCAGGCAGGAAAGAATTTTTCCTTGGATAAATGTGCTGTAATGATGAAAGAGATTGTTATTTTTTTTATTCCTTTAGTTGGTGAATATAAACTAGAATGTCAAATCAAAATAATTAAGTCAAGTCTCCTTCATTTATAAAGTGATTTTTTAACAGGATGGATTGTTTCGAAGCAGATTTACATTGATAATAGAAATTACCGTAACAGATTGTTTAGGTTTTACCACAGATCCAGGATAAAATTGTTATCCAGCTAAAGATAGTCTTGACTGATTCACTTCCATTGTGAAGAGAACACCGTTTGACACCGTTCTAACAGAAAACCTCTGAAAATCATGCACTAAACCACAAATCATTTTATGATTTTTTTTTATGATTTTTTTTTTTTCAAAGTTGAGGAGACAAGATAGGCTACACTATTTAACAAAATAAGAAATATGATGTCAGTTTACATTTTTAATCATTTTAACAGGTAGATTATTTATTATATAGGCTACTATTTTTTTGGAATCACTACAATGCCAAAAAAAGATGAGGGCTCTTTCTAGTTTATATGATTACTGCAGTATTGATTATGTACTCTGATTATATTAAATAAAACTTCAAACTGATTAAGAAAGATGTGAAGGTGACTCTATCAAGCAGATTTTAATTGATGAGTGTGAATATTAAACAGATATTAAATGAGGACTGAAAGATGTAGATGGCAGGGACGTTATCAATTCCAGAACTAAATTAGGGCCTAAAAGACGTCAGACCATAAATTGCTGGCAAAATAAAATAAAAACAGGTCTGCCAGTTTGCGTGCAACCAGATATAACCTATCATTGAGGCATACTGCTCTATTCTCCATGTTAATGTCACTTCCAGGAAATATAGAATGAAATCTGTATCATCAAATGTTGTTCTCCCCGTTCATAGACCCACTGCAAAGAACACTTCCCTTGGAACTTCTTCAGACACGTTTTATAACACACAAGCCATAAACTCTTGGCAATCAAAATGATTAACAGGCCTGATCACTGCGCAGGGAAGTGGTTTCAGATGTTGTGTTCGTCAGAACTGCGTCAGAAGCGATGAACTCACTAGAGGGGAGAAGGATTGGGGAGGCGACGCTTTTCAGGCACACTCATAGCGCAGCGAGTATCAGCACTGGGCGGGTAAGAAACCTCTGGGAAAGGAGGAAAATCTTGCTAGTTCGGTTTTGTATAACAACAATAAACAGGGGTAAATATTTAATCTACTACAACCAATAAATTATTCAGTCTTGCGTCTCTCTCCGCCTAAAGCGAAAGACGGGCGAGTGTATCGTGCGGTAAAGAATCGTGGAAGCATCTTTTCAGGACCTTGGACAGAGCGCGCGCATACAATGGCTCCAGTGACGACAGAAGAAGAACATTTCGGTAAGTAAATGGTTGTCATTTATCATAGTCGGTGGACAAATGCTATTTTTTGCATGGTTAACGATATGTTATTATATTTTTGGAAACGTGTACGTGGCTCAGTAAGGATTTCTCTGATGCGCGGGCACAGACATAAATAGGCGCGTGCTTTATTAGTAGCCTATGACATCATGGCGTATATATGAAAATGTTTGAAACGCGTTGAGATGCTTGTCAGCAGCTTTCAACGATTATTTAATAATCACAGAAGAGTACTGATTTGTTTTCTGAGAGAAAGACAAAATAAGGCTGACAGGGCACCTTAATTCAACACAGAGGTGCTGCACCCAGCTTGAAAACGGAAATTTCCATACTGCACTACCATATGATTGTTGTTTCTTAGGATTTCATTGCCAACGCGATATTTACAGTAATTTATAAATAGTATGATTTTAGATTTTATAAGTGGCATTACTTTTCTTTTGTATTGTTTTGCTGTTATCATCAGGACAACTGTTAACATCAACACATGTCAGTGTCTGTGTTGATTATGATGCAAGTAAATTTATATAATCTCCATATTCCTTTCCTGGTTGAAGGTGTTTTAATATTTCATGGCAACAATAAGACTACAAATATATGTAAAACAATTCTAAATATATATTTTTGTTCCCCCCTCCTCCTCAATTTCCTGTTTTATACATAGCGGAGGTTCCTGTGAGTGTGGCAGTGGTGAGTGTATTTGGCCTGGTCTTCAGCGTCTCCATCTTTGCATGGATTTGCTGTCAGCGCAAAGCCAACAAGACCAATAACAAGACCCCACCCTATAAGTTTGTCCACATGCTAAAGGGGGTTGACATCTATCCTGAGAGCCTGAATGGAAAGAAGAAGTTTGGAGGAGAAAAGACATCTGAAGCCCATGGAAAACAGAACCTCAGTCCCAATGGTGGGCGGCCAGAGCTCCATCTGGACCTGGACAATCGAGATCTTAATGGAAACTTTACCTCCAAACCACCAACCCTCCAACTGAAAGTGCGCAGCTCCCCAGACCTGGACATCCCGTCTCTTGGGCCGTGTGGTAATCAGGATGCTGGTACTCCAGAAAGCATCCTATCCAGTCAGACACCAACACCGGCCGTAGAAAAATCTCAGGACAAAGATGGTGGCCTGGGGACTCTCTTCTTTTCAGTTGAGTACAACTTTGAGAAGAAGGCTTTCATGGTTCACATCAAGGAAGCACATGGATTGTCCCCCACGGATGAACAGTCATTGACATCTGACCCATATATTAAGCTGACCTTGCTGCCTGAGAAGAAGCACAAGGTGAAGACACGTGTTCTCAGGAAGACTCTGGACCCGGCCTTCGACGAGACCTTCAGCTTCTATGGAATCCCATATGCACGAGTTTCCCAGCTGGCTTTGCACTTCATGGTGCTGAGTTTCGACCGCTTTTCACGTGATGAGGTGATCGGAGAGACCCTCGTTCCTCTGGCTGACATCGACTTGTCCGAAGGGCGGGTCCTCATGAACCGGGACATTATTAAAAGGAATGTCAGGGTAAGAACAGCTTTAGTTTCCTGCATTTGTCTGTTACAACCTATATATATATATATATATATATATATATATATATACTTTTATACTGTTATTATTTGATATATTCATTTATAATGATTGTATGTTTGTATATACATTTATATATTTAAATTAATATTTATTTATATTTTTTAAATGTATATACATTTATATATTTAAATTAATATTTATTTATATTTTTTAAATGTATATGCTCCCATAGATTGCACAGCTAAGTTTAAAATGAAAGCACATACATGTACTGTACCTTTTTAAGGTCTTAACAAATCAGTCCCAGCTCATGTGAAAACTGAGACAATAGTTTGGTCTTATTTAATGTGGGCAGTCAATGACACACCCAAGCCTGGAAAGAGAAAACAACTAATGGTGTCTGTTTTTCCACTTGGGTCAATAATTAGTCTTTGCCATCCATCTTAAGGCCCACAGGTTGTTAATTTTTAATTGACCCTCTAATGGACCACTCACAGCAAATTTTGTTTTGCCTGCAGACTTAGTATTCGGGCTTATAATAACTGTACGATGTTCACAAAGAGTCTACAGCAATTTTCTTGTCACATTTAATGCACTGCACTCCTTCATGCACAAAAGACTTTAAAAGTATGTGGAAGGCTACTGATTTAAAAAAAAAAAATAGTGAACAGGGCAGAAGTCATCATCTTTGACAAAATCTTGTTTTGGCAACACAATTTTACTGTTATGAACATAAGAATTCACCCCATTTGAGCTGAAAGGAAGACTATTATGTTTCATTGGGGATTTTGACTGCATATAGTTTAACACACGTAATTATGCTTCGTCGGTTGAGAGACATTGGAAGTCATCGCCGTGGCAGCAGCAGAACCCTGCTGATGTGTTGCCAGGGCAACATGCTGCCATGTTCACACATAATTGGAGTCATACATTGGTGTTGTGCCAAGGGAATGATTCACAGTCAGTTTCTCGTAACAATAAGGCACTGTTCAGTGCTTAGGGTTAGTTGCCAAGACGTGACATTATAAAATAAACCATTTTGGGGTTTGTGATGCTGATTGTGTCCAAACCAGAGAAAAAAAAACATGGAAATAATGTCTTGCTTCTTTATCTTTATCTGTAGAGGAATGCCGGTCGAGGAGAGCTCCTTCTGTCCCTGTGTTATCAGTCTACCACCAGTACTCTGACTGTGGTGGTACTGAAAGCCCGTCACCTGCCCAAGGCTGACTCCAGCGGACCCTCAGGTGAGGTCAGAGTGTGTGGGGCAGATAGTGGTGGTCATTAATAGAAACATAATGCTTAATAAATGGATGGATGGATGGATGGATGGATGGATGGATGGATGAATGGATTATGCATGATGAATGGATGATGGATAGATGGATAGATAGATTAATATAGATGGATAGATAGGATGATAGATAGATAGATAGATAGATAGATAGATAGATAGATAGATAGATAGATAGATAGATAGATAGATAGATAGATAGATAGATAGATAGATAGATAGATAGATAGATAGATAGATAGATAGATAGATAGATAGATCAGGCTCTGTCAATAACCATATTAATATTAAATATATTAATAATATTATAATAATTAAAAATATTTTAAGTCATCCTGTGGCCTCCTTGAAAATTAGCAAGAATTTACCTGGCCCCTTGGACATTTTATGTACATTTTATGAGGGATCGCATCTATTACTGTAGTACCAGTGTTGTTTTATTAGCATAGAGATATTATTATACATTTTCTTAATATTTTTTATTTTCAATTTTAGGTTTTAGTAATTTTATCGTGCGTTTTAATGGTTTTTCATTCGTTAGGTTTTTTAAATGTCTATATAGTTTTTATTATTTTTAATGCATCAAGATAAACTAAGTGAAAATCAGAAATGTTGCCTTGTCTACAAGCTGAAATAAAATAAGCTTACATTTTTGTTTTTTAGGTTTACTTTCAGTTTAATTGAAGTAGTAATAACCCTGATTAGTACATCAATGTGTTGGACACTTATGAAACCCTTTGTACAGCAGTGGTGTGATCTCCCACAATGCACAGCGTAGCATTTCCTGCATATCGACTGAAGTATTGATTTCTGTCTCAATCTGTTTATTTCTCTTCCTCCCATCTTTTTTAGACCCTTACGTGAAGGTGAACTTGTTCCAGGGGAAGAAGCGAGTGTGTAAGAAGAAGACGCACGTGAAAAAGTGTGCCCCCAACCCCGTCTTCAACGAGCTCTTCGTTTTCGACCTGCCCTCGGAAGACGGCCTGCGAGACACCAGCGTGGAGCTCCTCCTGCTGGACTCCGACAGAACGTCCCGTTCACCTGTCATCGGCCGGCTCCTCCTCGGCACTTCGTCCCCCGGCACCGCCGGCGAGCACTGGCGCGAGATCTGCGACCACCCGCGCCGACAGATCGCTAAGTGGCACGCGCTGTCCGAAGACTAGGTCTGCCAGTCGCCATGCAGACAGATGCCCAGGAACTGTCATTGGAATTCATGGTTGAGTGGGCAGGATTTGAACTGTGGACTTGTCGCGAGTAATATCTGTCAATCAACTGATCTCAGTCATACAAGTCATATCATTGGGGCGGGGCTTCTTCTAAAGGGGGAGGCGCCAGCTGAACCCAGCCAATTATTGATTCCAAAGACTGTCTCAGATGCCCAATGGCGCTTTTTCTTCATGCTGATCGATCACCACCTTGTGCAGTACGGAATGTCATGTTGCTATTGCTGTTCTTCTCTACTCACTGTTAATAATACTCCATCATGTGATACAAGTAAGATAATCCTGGTAATGTGATGATGTAAATTAACTGAATGACCTGTTTATTTTTTAAAAGATGCTTCTATCTTTTGTTTATTCTGATGTTGAAACCCATTCAATCTCTTCCTTTTATACTTGATTTCTCGACTTTGGTTTGTTTTTGCATTTTTTGCCTGACGTTTTTGTAAGTTAACATGGTGTGGAAGCAGCCTAAATTAGGCACAAACAAGCAGAGACGGATGTGTTAAAGCAGGACGACTGCACGAACTGAACGGGACCGCATGCAGTGTGCGTGAATATGAGCGTGTGTGCGTGTATCTGTGTGTGTTCTGTATATAAATGTGTATGTGTGTGTAAGTTCAGTTCCAGTGGAGTGTGAGACAGAGTGTTGTTCTCTTCACTGTGAGCACAACGGTGGAAGTGATGTATTATGTGTATTACTATAAAACATCAAGTTCTGAGAAAGAAATATTGTATGTCTCCTGTGTCATTTGGTTAATCTAAATTCATTCCATCAGATTTTAATGTTATTTACTGTGATGACTAAGTCTGAGTCAGTGGTTTTGCGTCACATTCAAATCAATAGTAATTAACATTAGAGAGAAAGAGAGAGATGATGTCATGTGAAAAAAGTAGTCATTTTATTTAGCAAGACAATTATAATGTTACAAAATATTTATATAGGCTATAAAACAAATCATGTTCTGTTGAATTCTCTATTTCTCAAAGAATCCTGAGTTTTGCTATATTTTTTCAAAATTGATCGAAGCACTAAATCAGCAGCATGATTTATGAAGGATCATGTGACATTGCCATCACCGGAATTAAATACATTTTTGAAATATGTTCAATTAGAAAACAAAGTCTTTTAAATATTATTGCTTTACTGTATTTTGTATCAAATAAATGCAGCCTTGGTGAGATTACAAGAGAATTATTTTGAATGATAGTGTGAATTCCTCCCTCCTCCTTTCTTATTTGAGGGCAGTCAGCAGGAGTTAAAAGTCTTTTGATGAATGATACCAGGAAGAACTCTATCCTCATAAAACCTGCGGGTGGGATGCCATGGCTTAGAATATCAAGGGCCTGAATGTTCTGTTTCTCCTTGGATCTGTGGCGAAATGAGCTAAAGCTCTATTACTAGCCATCTACGTCAGTCCATTGAACAGTACTGGTGTCTCAGTGCTCCACGTTTCTAAAAAAAACATGTGTTACTTAGCACACGCGTGAGTGCCCACGCTTACCATAAATAGTGAATTATCTCATATTTGTGAGACTAGAGCAACAAGAGAAGCTGAGAGACTCAAAATGACACTCATGCACTCATAAACATACAGATACAGGCTGTCGTGTTTATTGATTTCAGTTAAAACATTTTACATGACATTGCATGTACAGAAGATTAATAAAGGAAAATATTGTGATAAAACACACTCTACTGATCACTTCAAGTCAAATTAAGTAAAAATCATTTCATGTCAACGCATTCTCACCCCAAGGCGTCACCTTTGACCATGCTTCAATATTTGACGTTTTAGGCGCCCTTTAGCGTCACTTACATGACGCGATCCTACGGCGTCATCTAACTGACGCTAAAGGAAAGCGTCAGTTAGAGGACGCGGTTAGGTTTAGGTCTGGGGTGGGAGTAGGGTACACGGCACGCGATCGTAAGGCGTCATCTAACAGACGCTAAAGGGCGCCTAAAGCGTCAGATATTGAAGCATGGTCAAATGCTTCCCAAGGTGACGCCTTGGGGGTGAGAATGGGCTGTTCATGTTAAATTTGTAGATCTCACAGTAAGAGTAATGCTGAGGTGAGTAGAGAAATATCAAAAGAGTGGGGAAAGGGTATAGAGAGGGACAGGAATAGTGAAAAAGGTGTGTGTGTGTGTGTGTGTGTATGATATGACTGAAGTTCTGACGTCAGGCAATACAATGATGCATCAGTTGGCTGTTATACATCAGAGAATAGGTCAGCATTAAGAGCACTGGGGAATGGTCAAACCACACACACACATACTAAACCATCAGACAGATCTGCTTCCACACCTGTCTAGCCAAAAAAAAAAAAAAAAAAAATGAAGAGAATAATGTCAAAAGAGTGTTCAGATTCTATCATCAGTTTCTACACACCTGAGAAACTGATCCTCTCAGTCACTAGAACGGCTGGGATGGATAGATGGATGGATGGAAAAGACCAGCAATGTCCACATTAGAGATCACCACCTCCTGCAGTCAGGCTCAAATCCCCACCCTGTTCAGTCCAGCACTATCAAGGGACCTGCAATATCAAGCTGTGAACCTGCTCAGACGTTTGTATGTGCGTGTGCTTGTACGCTGGGATATTTTATAGTGCTCAGATGTAATGGAAATGCATTTTAAATGAGGCAGTGTTTCATGGAATGACAAATGAAGGATTGCCGTCTCCTGGCTGAGAGAGAGAGCGAGTGAATGAGGCAAGGGGGTTATTGTCTAAATCTCTACATCTTTGACAACGCAAAAGTGCTTCATTTGTCTTGCCAAAAAAATAATAAAATGAAACTGGGGCGTGAGGAACTTAAAAGTGTGAGAGAACATGAAAGAAATAGATGAAGGGATACAAAGTACAAGGCTGGAGAAGAGTTCAAACTGAAATAGGAGAACGATAAAGCCAGAAGGAAACGAATTAGGAAGATAAAAAAAGGAGAGAACATTGAGTCTGCCAAGCAGTGTGTTTTCTGGGGGAAGCAGATGAAATATAGGGTGATGTGAGAGAGATAGAGGATGTGAGGCACGTGAGGTTGGGTCTCTGACTTTTTGGTATTCAGAGCAGCCGATGTCTGTCTCGTCAAGAAATAAATTATTAAATGGATGAAAATGAGATTAAAGCACAGAAAAGAAAAGGGCCACTGTGATACGGGCTGAAGAACACACACACACACACACACACACATAGCAGTGCCTTAAGTTATTAGTAAAACTCACTGATGACATAGATGTACTTGTTGGTCATGGATGTATCAGAAAATCAGCTGAATGGATTGGAAAACGGTAAAACTCAACTGTTTAACTCTGGGGGAGTTGTAAAATTAGCCTATTTCCAAAAAAGTGGAGTATCCCTGTAAGCGATATTTTTTTCCCCAGGATGGTAGGGGAAGGTCCCGCCTTTTTCGCCTCTGATTGGCTAGAAGGGCTCTCCTCCGATTGGTTATTTGATTTGGCTGTGAAACGTCATCTCACGTTCATGGCAGGCTGTCTGCTAGTCTGTTTTGACCCTACTCCTAAACCTACCCAACACACACACACACCCTAAACGTACCCAACACACACACTACTCCTAAACCTACCCAACAGACACACACACACACACCTAAACCTACCCAACACACACACTACTCCTAAACTTACCCAAGCCAACACACACACACTAACCCTACTCCTAAACTTACCCAAGCCAACACACACACGCACAAAAATCAAATAACCAATCGGAGGAGAGCCCTTCTAGCCAATCAGAGGTGAAAAAGGCGGGACCTTCCCCTACCATCCTGGGAAAAAAATATCACTCCCTGTAAAGGTAAATTCTGGTGTCTCTATCGCCATCTGTGGTTGATATATAACACTTGTGAGGAACATTTTACGTATTTTTTTTTCTCTTTTGCATGTCCTACAATATGTGCATATCAAAATATGTCATAAGAGCAATTAAACCTTATGCGTTTAGACAAATTATTACATTTTCAGCCAAATTGAACAAAAAAAATAATAATTACAATTTTACCATACTGCTTCAGGGTGAGTAAAAAAATGATATTAATGTACTTAATAGCCTAAATCATTTGTTTAAATAAGTAAACAAAAAAAAAACCTCTGTTGTGTACAATTGAAGTCGGCATGAAACATAAGTTGCAATAGTGTTTTCTTCTATTATTATGTATAAAATGGAGGATGAGACTTTGTGGATTTTGGAATTTTGTGGAATGGGAATTGATTGGATCGTTGTGGTTTCCTATTCCAGTGATGTCATGTCAGGTTGAATCTCAGGTTAAATCTCAGGTTGTCCTGACCTCATATTAAAGATAACGAGGGCATAAAAATGTAAAAGCAAATAATGATATAGGCTACATGGACAATTAATTTCCGATAAATACTGCAGTAGACAAAAAAATAATAATTGTCCATTTTGATGATGATCAAGTTTTTGCCTCCACATGGTTGAAATGGGCTGGCTACAAAAAAAGTAAAACAGACAAAGTGACAAACTGGATGAATGGATACTGGACATCATGAATAAAATCTGAATTAAATTAATTCACCATTTTATGGCCTAAATGTCCCAACAGGTGAAAGTGTTTCCAGGTGCATAATGGGCTGACTCATAAAGCTAAAACTACATGACCTTAAACACCAATGACAATTAAAGAACCACATAATCGTTTAAAGGGCTCACATTCTTCTTTCCCAACACACACTCTCAAATAAATAAATAAATAACAGCTTTAATTGGAGACCTTTTACAAGAGTGTCAGGATATGAATTCATTTGCATGAGGTCCTCTATCTGCTACTGCCTGGATGAGTCCTTCTATAGCTGTTGGCTAGATGAGGAATTTTATACACACCATAAATGGACAAGTTAGTTATAATTAGACAGCTTAAATGTAAAGACTGTCTCAAATTGTTGGTTAAAAGAAATGTCTTCTGAAGTAACTCATTTTGGATAAGATGGAGAAGATATTTTGAAGAATTTGGGCATAAACAGTTGATGTACCCCATGACTTCCATAGTATGGAAACAAATTCCGTGGAAGTCAATGGGGCCCATCTGTCTGATTACTAACATTCTTCAAAATATCATCTTTTGTGTTCAACAGAAGAAAGTAATTCATAGAGGTTTGGGGAGTAAATAATGACAGAATTAATTTTTTTGGGTGAACTATCCCTTTAAGACATCTTCCTTATTGACTGTTGGCTGCCCAACACAGTGTATATGTGATTTTATCCTTGTGGGGACATTTGATCCTTAATATGTTGATACACAGACACACACACATTAGGTGGCATGGAGATGAGATGAACCCATTGCACTCAGCACAAATATAATCAAAATACTATACTCAACCTTAAGCTATATATATATGTGTGTGTGTGTGTGTGTGTGTGTGTGTCAGATGCCTTTAGGCAGGGCTTGATAGGCTCAGTGAATAAGACTGAGCAGTTGCACTTGAGAGGCTGTGAATTTCTGAACACGGCTCAGAAAAGGCACCACTCCACCAAACTGTCAAGGCTAAACTCCTTTGGTTGTTATGGAGACGGAGAAGGTGAATGAAGGAGGTAGGGAGGGAGGGAGGGAGGATGGATGGAGGGAGTGAGAAAAAGAGGGAGCAGCCGTGACAGGGAGAAATGCCCGGCGGGCCAAAATCAAACTGGCAGGAGTGTGACATGACAAATTGTTGCTGCACCCACAAAACGCTGGGAGACATGATGGATGGT